TAAGAGGTTAGCCTTAAATGGCCCTCTTACAGTTTTTGAAATACTAAAGGACACCAGGACCATTTTTCCCGTGTGTTATAACTTCAAACCTTTATTCAACAAAATGGATGCCCCTAGGGCAGTAGAATTTCTTAATCCGAAAACCACAGAAACCTCAACTGTTCATCCTAAGGACCCATTTATCTTGGATTATGTAAAAAGTAATTTTAAACCATTCCGATCTTGCCCTACTGCTGATGTTGCTTATCAAAACTGGTTTACGAAAGTAGAAGCCAAAAAATCCCAGCAATGGGAAGAACTAGGCATTTATAACCTTATTAAGCTATCGAAACCTGGATTCACCTATAGTCATCCTCTGCTATTTGCGTCCCTCTACTTCTGGGATAGTACCTACAACACTTTCCATCTTCCAGGTGGAATGATCACCCCAACCTTCTTCGATATAGCAGCCATTACCGGACTGTCGCCAGTGGGGGAAACTTATGTTCCTGACAATGAAGAGCACTCGAGCATAATTGACTTCGAAGTCAAGTTAGCCAGCTTCTCCAAATTTATCGGCCATTATCATGCTGAAGGGGATAATGTGTCTGACACAGAGCATATTGCTTTCTTAACCCTGTGGCTGTCCAGGTACGTTTTCTGCAGTAGATCCCTGCAGGTAGCTAGTAGGTTCATTCCTTTAGCTAGGGATTTACATGAAAATCGCAAAGTGTGCCTAAGCGAATTACTCTTAGTTGACCTCTATGAGAGCCTGAGGTCAGCTGTTTCGAGCCTCAAATCCCACAATTCCAAAAACATTCTTTTAGCTGGCCCATTTTGGTTACTTCAATTATGGCTCAATGCCATGTTCGAACCTTCTTTATCAACCGCCAATACCATAGATGAACAAGATTCAGAAATAAGTGATAGGATAGTCGAAGGCACTAGGCTTCGAAGACTAACCCCTAATGATGACAAGGATGACTTCAAGGTTCAATTTTCGAAGTACATCTTGATACTCTCAAAAAGACACAAGTTTGAAGAGAGCATGGCGCCCTTTGCTTCGAGGGCTCATGGACCTTCTTGGTTCACCATGGCTCTCTCAGAAGCCATCAAGAGTAAGGAAATCCAAGATGTGTGGAGAGCTTTCTTGCTTCCTAGACTTATCTCTTCAAGGATAACCCCAGCTAAGAACCAAATTCTTCTCTTTGCCTACCAACCAAACTTCGTTTCGAGGCAGTTTGGCCTATGCCAACTGATTCCTGAACCTTTGTTCCAGACTGAGAGCGCCATCACATCTGGTCGAACTTTCAAGGCAAGGGAAGCCAAGATCCAACAAGAACAATATCAGGGCTTTGCCCAATTTGAACTGATAGCCTTCGAACCTACTCATCTCGCGGCCAAAGGATTTCTGGAGTGGTGGATTAAGTTTTATCAAACTTGTATGTTCGATACACTTACTATTCGACAGAAACTAATTGATGCCTTCGATGTGCAGGTACCAGCAAAGAAAGGTATGTTTACTCATGCCAAAGAAATAAAAGCTTTTCAAAATTACTTCGAAACTACTTACGACCCCACACGCTTGGACTCCACTGTGCATCAAGCGGCTGAGACCTTGAAGGAAAAATTTAAACAAAAAGTTTCCAAGCTAAAACTTCCTTCAGGGCTGTCACCTGAGGATAGGTATAGGTTGGCATTCGAAATGCATCCACCTAAATTTCCCAGATTACCTACCTCAGAACTGGCTCTGGCTTGGTTTCCCCCATATCCATGGTGGTTTACTTGCAAAGAGATGTTCAAATATCTTCAAAGGAAACCAAAGCCATCTGAGACTGTGACATGGGCTCGACACTGGCTTCATGATTTCCCAGGACATCTTCGATATGACCTTTCTGCCATGTCAATTAAATCTGATCAAGGCACAGGTGTGAATGCTTGGGAAAAACTCCCAAATATCTTTTATTTTCCAAATCTTTAACCTTTGCTTTAAATGTTTTGATTTTCAGCTATCAGGATAAAGACCACTGCCTCGAAATCGAAGGAAGGGAGTGCCTCTCAAGCCTCCATCGAAACTACCGAAAAGACTAATCCACCCGAAACGACTACTGCTGCTGCAACTACACCAACAACAACAACGCCAACAACAACAAGTGCCCCAATTCCAACGGTAATCACTTAGTTTTTTATGCTTCGAATTCACTCAATCCTTTTATATCTAACTTCGTTAAAATTCGTTCAGACCAACAAGCTTCCCCCCACTACTCCCAAGAAGCGGAAACCAAGCACCACTGGGGAAGATCTGACTGCTGGAGGAAACTCAAACATTGCTTCGAAGAAGAAGCTAAAGAAAGCTACACCAAAAAGTATTGTTCCTACTAGTGTCTCTGGACTCGACTCCAGGGATGCTGCTCCCTCACCAAAATCCAAAAATCCACCTTCGACCTCCAACCCACAGTTGGAACGCATAGCTAGCAACCTCTCTTCTGAGGGGCCACAGGTAAATCGAACTTCTTCTAAAAATGTTTAACTTCTTATTACCTTGGTGAGTGTCATCCTTTAACACTTTGCTGCTCCTTGCAGAACATCCTGAATCCCACTTCTACTATTTCGACCTCACCGTCCAGGGCTGCTGTTCCGCTTAACTCCTCTCCTCAAGGAGATTCCAGCAATTTGGTCCAAAACAAAGGTTCTTCCAACGTGGCGGTTTTGGCTGGAACTTCTGAGCAGCCAGATGACCAAGGTACCTCCATTCCTCTGAAAGAGGTGAACGAAACCATACCTCAAACGTCTGCAGAGGATTCACAAAGGGTTCTTCAAAAGTCCCCTCTTGAAACTCTTCAAGAGGATCCAAAGGATACTCAGACTGAAGAGGAAAAAGCTGATTCTGGACAAGGATTCGAAGAATCTGCAGACGAAGAATCTGAGGAGGAAAACGCCAATGATGGGGAAAATGACAATGATGGTTCGACTGCCGAGACGGAGTCTAATGCACATAGCGGTGAAAAGGATGGTATCGAAGTGGTAGATTTGGTAGAGGATGAAGAAGACCAAGAGCACGAAGCAAATGAAGGGGATGGTGATACAATCAACGAAAACCCAGAGGTTGAAACAAACGAGGTTCCCCTACGCGTGGAATTCCCCCAATCCTCTCCGTCTCGAATGACTGACGAGGACCTGGCACTTCTGAGGCGAAATGACCCTATTGGGTACATGAAGGCAAAGTTGGCCCAGAGGGACATCCCACTCGCTAGGGCTGGCACAAGTTCAACCAGCTATCCTCTTCCCACAGATGAAAGAGTTGTTCTTCTCAACAAAATTAGGAGAACTATTCTCAATGTGGATATCTTCGAAGTGCTTAAGCAAGATAGTACTGCTTGCTATACTATGAAGGAGCTGCTTACAAAGGTTAATCTCTCCAGCTGCTCTTTGCCAGTTAGTACTCTCTTGTTTGATCTTCAGAATTTGC